GTAAACTGGGAATTTTTTAAAATTTCTCATATTTATTTNCTTTTTTTTTCAAAAGCTTTGTGTCTCTATTAAACTAAAAGCACTAAGTATATGCATTTGTAGACTTAATATAATACTTCTTACAACTAAAACAAAAATTAAGGACCTTAAAATTTTCGTAAAAAGGCAATAGGCCAAAGTTTATTTTAAATCAACATAGCCATGGGCCTCTGTCTAGGACCCGGATAATATTATTAAATTTTAGGGCTCCATTTCTAAACATTAATTATAGTATAGTAGTAAAAGATAAAGTAAGAGAGTTTTTTAAAATTTTCATCCCAAATTCAAAACAACTTCTTTGCAAAAATAAAAGTTTATTTTCTTTTAGTAAGTTTCATAAATTTTTTATTGGCACGCTAACAAATATTTAAAATTAAATTATAATTATCGTCAAAACTTATATGTAGAATTTTTTAAAAAAAAATTTGAATAACAATTTGAATAACAATTGTAAGGTAAATTTGAATAATAATTTGAAAATTACTCGAATCTATAGGCTAAAAAGACTAATTATATTGTACTGGATCCGACTTTGTGTTTGGTAACATTAGATTATCTTAAAAAAAATACTCTAAATAAAAAATCTAGGATGTTTTATTTATTATTAAAAATAAAAAGTTACTCAAAATCAAATTTCAATATATAGTTGAATGTACCTCAACAATTTCAACGAAGATTTTCATTTTTGCAGCATATAGCATTGTAGAACTTGAGATCTCACTATTTTTCCTTTTCATCCTTAACCAAAGGTGTTGCTTACGAACAGATGGGAGAATTGATGACCGATCATTTTTTATAAACCATGTGTCTTCATTGTCTACTTCTTTGGCAATTCTGCTAGTTTATCCAAGGATGATTGTTGTTCATGACCTTGATGCAAATGTATAGAGCTATATTTTTATCTCAGGTGTTGTTACACCTACTCTTTTCAAGACTTTTGAGTTTTGATGATTGTTCCTTGATCTATCAGGATAATGAAGCAATTGTGGTTCCTTCTCCAATCCCATTGTCAAATGAACACCTTAGCTATGAGGGAGTTTATTTTCTTGAAAATCGTAATGATGGTTTGATATATGTTTGGGAAATCAGTAAATTCGAATATTTTGTAGAAGCTTTTTGATGTTTCCTCAGCGGCGCTGACTTTCCTTCTATTTATCACATTTGGAGGGAGGGAGAGAAATTGTCGGCGGCATAGAGAGCAGCTTTGTCACCAAACATTCTAATCAAACAAATTGATAAGACCATTCGCAATCGGATAATTTTGCTTCGATGTAACGGAGACCTAGCGTTCTCGGAAGCCATGGAGATATGGCTCTCCAGCCGTTGATCGATCATCGTACAAGCGCTCTGAATTACTAATTATATATCTTTAAATTGTTTCTTTGCAACATCAGAACAAAGAACATATTTATTGTACAAAAGACTTTGATTTGAATACAATTAACATTCAATTAAAAAAAATAAAACCCGGACCGGACCGGTCTAATAGCGACCCGAATACTATTTCGGTCCGGACTAGTCTTAAAAATCGGAGAGTTAAAAACCCAGATACAACAAATAAGGTTAAATCCGACAAAACCCGGTGAATCGGCGGTTGAACAGTACCAAGTCAACTCTAATTTACAAATTTTGATTATTTTAGCTAATTATTTGTTAATAAAAACTATGAAATAATTGCTTTTATAAAATTTAATTTGTGTGCTTATTTTACTAATATGTCTTGTTCATATATTTATAAAAAAATAATATTACATT